TTTTGTGCCTGGTAAGAGGATGTTTCCTCTGTCCCAGATGTACTAGCCCTGAGAGAAGCAGCTGACATTTCTTCGATGACAACCCTGGGCTCCATGATCAGACAATCAACAAAAACAGAGTAGAGGTGTTGATCTTCAGGGTGATATAGTGTTCTAACACCTAGCTTTCTCATCCGGGCTGCCAGGACTTCCCTGCTGCATCCCTCTTTTCTTATAGTTTCTGCTCGGCCTTCCTTCCTCCTCTGGTCACCTTTACTCTGCGTCTGCCCGCTCAGTCTCTTTTCCACGGGTGTTGTTACACTTAGAACTTCTTCCTCCTCCAAATCGCTTTCTCCTCTGTCAGAGTTCTTGCGCTTCACCCCATTCCTTTGACTTAGGGTGCATCCCTCCTCCAGCTGCTCTCGCCCTTCTTTCGCTCCTTTATCTTTGGCTTTTGGCCTCTGTTTCACTGAGGTGAATTTGGAGTTCAGCTGCTCATGTCCAGCATTGTCAGCTGGACCATCACTTCTCTGTGTTCTTTTAATGCCAGAGTTCAAGACCGGGACGTCTTCATTCGATATTAGTCCAATAACAGGTGCGATAAATGAAGGTTTGCTTTTTGGCTCGGCACCCTCAGATTCATCCACTGACAACTTCCTGGCTGCTGTCGGCTGATCTGATGGGACTCTTCCGGATGGTGGCAGAGAAAGTGAAGCCAGGATGGAGTCTCCCATATTTGGAGGTAGTGACGCTGTAAAGAGCAAAGAGTATTATCATGAGCTGACACTCAAAGTCTTCCTGTCACAGTCGTCACAACACAGATCTTATCTTTTTCAACCTGCTGACTGCAGGTGGCCAAGGCAGGTTTCATGCTGAAGTAAAATCTTCAGGAGCTGGGGCTGTGTGGCTGCCCGTGCACACTCCTCCAGGACAGGGGGGGCGTCACTGAGCCACGCTACAGTCTGACAAAAAAAATAAAAATAAAACCCAAATATTAGATCAATTCTTGCACACAGAAACTGTTAAAGCAGTGATGATAAGAGCAATAAATTATGTCTAACGCTATGGAAACAGCCGTTTTCTCATTACCTGTACTAGGTTGGGAACAGGAAGCAGCTGGTCCAGTCGAACCAAAAACTCCCACAGCAGCTTCTCCAGCTCCTGGTCAAACGTTGCTCCATAATCCACAGGAAACACTTCCTGTCAGGAGAGGGTGTAAAAGTTCATCAGCAGGTGGAGGTGCTGAAGTGTGTGCTGTAGAGGCGAGGTACTCACTTTGTAGAACTT